ATTTTCAAAATCCCACAAATCCAAAAATCAGAAAATCGGAAATTCGAGTCCCGAAAAAATTCTAAATTTTCATTTTCTTCCAGATCGATGCCTCTCTCCGAATCCTCCTTGGCAAAAACCGCTTCCAACTGCAACTCTGGAATCCGATGATCCCAAATGAGACTCGCAACTCGTACGTCATCAGAATCTTCAACGCTCTCCGTCTTCCAAATTCCGTGGAGAATGAGCAACGGCTCGGCCAGCTGCTCTGCTTCGCCCGCAACGCCGAACGTCAACACTTCCTATGCTGTGATACTGAAGAGAAATACTTCAAGGCCATCAACAAACAGGCACAGAGAATCTCCAAGGACATTGAGATGCTCCTCGAGCTCAAGAAGAAATTCTAGAGGCTTCACCTCCTCCTACGCCGTGATATTCAATTTCTCATATAACCTGTGATGTAACCACCAATGTCAATAAAACTTTAAAAAAGTGAATCAGTCTCCAAAATAAGTATAAACATGCCTCGTGTTCAATTTTTGTGTTTCTTCAGGAAAAATTTTTGAAATTGGAAAAATTTTGAATTGATCATAACTTTCTTAGTTTTTGTCCTATTTGAAAAATAAATATGAATTTGAAGTAGGCTCGTCAAGAGCTTCAAAATGAGTATAATCATGCCTAGAATCGGTTCACATTGAAAAATGAGGTCATAGACGCAGTGTGTCTGGTTTCTCTAACTCTCGCGCCTTGAGACGATACGTAACTCGGCCAGTTTAGGCTCAACTTTGATGAAAATACAATATATCGATTTCGATTGTCAAGAGCTTCGAGAAACGCATATAAACCCTAGGTTCCGAGAATTTCGATTTTGGGATCTCGGCACGAATAATTGTTACTTTTGGAAAATTTTTGAATTTTTCATAACTTTTTTAGCGTCTGTCCTATCTGGAATATAAATCTGGATTTGAATTCGGTATGTTAAACGCTTCAAAATGAGTATAAACATGCCTAGAATCAGTAAACATTGAAAAATTCGGCAAGACACGCAGTGTGTCTGGTTTCTCTGACTGTCGCGCCTTTCGACGATGCATAACTCAGCTAGTTTTGGTTCAATTTTGATGAAAAATTGATTATCTGATTTGTCTTCTAAAGAGCTTCACAATGAGTATAAAAACGCCAAAATTTTGGGAAAATCGAATTTTCGTGGTGAGACCCAAAAGTTCAAAATTTGAACTCTACGGGTCTGTGCTCACAGGTTCTCGGTGAACCAAAGTTCTTTCAGAACATATCAAGCTTTTTTGTAATTTTATGAAAATAAGCAGTCTGTTTATTCCTGGAATGGGTTTTTTTCTCTGGATCCGTGATCCGCGTAGCCGCATGACTTGATTAAACTCTGATGGGGATACACATAAATTTTTAAAGGATGTCTAGTTCTTTTTGAGTTCATTCTACATCGTTAAAACTTGAATATTCAACTTTCCCCAATTTCGAGCTTCAAAATGAATATAAACACGACCATGTTTTGAAAAAAAATTTTTACGATTTTCGTGGTGGGACCCAAAAAAATTTTGTTTCCAAAACTATTCATGTTTATACTCATTTTGAAGCTCTTGACAAGCCAAATCGATGTATAGTGTTTTCATCCAAATTGAGCTAAAACTGGCTGAGTTACGCCATTTCCAAAGGCGCGAGAGTCAGAGAAACCAGACACGCTGCGTCTCTAACCCCATTTCTCAATGTAAACCAATTCTAGTCATGTTTATACTCATTTTGTAGCTTTTGACAAGCCAAATTTAAATTTATATTCGTTTTTCAGATAGGACAAGAACTAAGAAAGTTATGCTCAATTCAAAATTTTACCCAAAAGTTGAAAATTTAGGACACCTAGCCGTTTTTATATTCATTTTGAAGCTCTTGACAAGCCAAATTGATGTATGGTGTTTTCATAAAAATTGAGCTAAAACTGGCTGAGTTACGCCATTTCCAAAGGCGCGAGAGTCAGAGAAACCAGACACGCTGCGTCTCTAACCCCATTTCTCAATGTAAACCAATTCTAGTCATGTTTATACTCATTTTGTAGCTCTCAGTGAGAAAAGTAAAAATTTCTAGTTGAAATTTTGATTTGGCAAAAATTGCTCATCCGCGTAGCTCAGCAGAACCTTCAACTTTTAGAAGATCTTTGATGGGCGAATTCCCCCGGATTTTTTTCTTCTAGATTTTTTTCCAGATCCTTCCAAACATCATCAAAAAGCAGAATGCCAATCGGTACGTTTTTTTCCCATGTTTTATGGGATTTAATCAACTTGTACGGGTGTTAGAACCCATTCCATGGCGCGTGTGTCGTCGCCATGGAGATGAATGGGCGGAGCTTCACCGAAAGTCACTTTTAGAGGATTTGGGTTCTGTGAAAATCTTTGATATACTATTTTTTTTTTGGTTTTTTGAGAATCTTTTTCAATTCTTTATGATTTCAGGACCTCGAATGGTGGATCCAGTAGCCCAGCCACCGCCAGAAACCACTACAGTACCCCCAAATTTGTGCTGTGGCTTTCTAAGATTCCTGTTCTGTGGCGAAAACTCTGCTAAAGTGCAACCAATTGAGGAGGCATCCGAGAGATCTCAGGAATCTCAAAACGAGGATTCAAATCCCCCAGAAGCTCCAGAGGCGGCTCCAGAATCCACAGGAGTGCTCCCAAAACTATTCACAGCGATCAAGGAGAAAGTAATTGGTACAAGTCATCCGGCGCATTCCGAAAAGACGCATCCAACACGAATCATTCCGATCAATGAAACAACACCAGAGCCACGTCACGAGTTTGATGATTGGCATTTAGGAGAAGCTAGGGCTCCAGAAATTCAAATTACCGCCGAGAATGCGAAAGAGCATCAGGAGAAATTGCTCAAGATTCTTCATGGATATGATTGCAGGCAGAAGTATATGGTAAGGACGGAAAGCTGTGGCCGGCCGTGTCAAGGACCAAATATTTTTTCAGGCTCGCCTCCAACTCATCCTTCAGGGACACTTAATTTGTGAGCCATGCTGCTCTAGAAGCCACTGTCCGGATATGCAGAAATCGCTGATCCAACTGATACGTTGCCGGGCATATTGTGAAGGTAGGGGGTTTGAGCTCAATTATCTCTGCTCCTGTGAAAAATATCAAAATTTTGTTAACTGATGTTAAGGATGTTATGATAAAAATTTTATCAGTTGGCAAACTGTCAATGTCTGTTTCAGGAAACGAGAAATTTGAGGTTGAAGTGCAAGTCTAGGGAAAGGGTGGTGTTCTACTTGGGCATAGGCTGAAAATGATCTGTAACTTTGTTGACAGAGAAGATACAGTATTCAAAATAATATCAATTTGTAGCTCTTGAACTGTTCTATCATATCCATTTTGTTTCCTCAGAAAATGTTGATTCTGAAAACAGTTAAGAGTCTTCCAGTTTTTGACCCATTTTTGGTCCATTTGTAGTCCGTTTTTTAAGGAGGGAAGACAGGAAAGGTTTTTGGAGGAAATGGGACCCAGCAACTCAAGATTACTATTACAGACGCCGAGCACTTCAACATGTTGACTCTCATCAAGCACTGGCGAGAATGCACCAATGGGGATTGTCTAGTCTGTGGACCATGCAAGAATCGGCAAGGGGAACCAGGTTGGTTTATTTTGTCTAGCTGATTTTTCTGGACGTATTCTCCGCGACTTAAACCTGAAAATCCGAATTTCTGAGGTATTGAGCTTCAAAATGAGTATAAACACGACCTATATTTGAAAAACAGTTTTTTAAAACAATTTTCGTGGTGGGACCCAAAAAAAAACATTTCTCCACACCTAGTCATGAGTATACTCATTTTGAAGCTCTTTTTGAGTTAAACCGATCGATAGTACTTTCATCAAAATTGAGCTGAAACTGGCTGAGTTACGTCATTTCCAAAGGCGCGAGAGTCAGAGAAACCAGACACACTGCGTCTCTAACCCTCTTTCTCAATGTAAACCGATTCTAGGCATGATTATACTCATTTTGAAGCTTTTGACAAGCCAAGTTCAAATCCACAATTATTTTTCGGATAGGACGCAAACAAAGAAAGTTACGATTAATTCAACATTTTCGAACAATTCCAAAATTTTCCAAATATGGTCATGTTTATACTCATTTTGAAGCTCTTTTTATGTCAAACCGATCGATAGTACTTTCATCAAAATTGAGCTGAAACTGGCTGAGTTATGTCATTTCCAAAAGCGCGAGAGTCAGAGAAACCAGACACCCTGCGTCTCTAACCCTCTTTCTCAATGTAGACCGATTCTAGGCATGATTATACTCATTTTGGAGCTCTTGATGAGCCTAGTTCAAATTTTCAATAAAAATTTTGATTTTTCAGCTCCAACTTCTGCTGATGCTCCAGAAGACCCAAGCACTCCACCTCTTGTCGAACCCCTATTCGTGGATTTCAATGGAAACCCATTTTTGCCGATGCCAGATATTCATCCACTCCCGCATTGGCGGAATTTCGTGCCCGACCGGCTCCGTGAGCATCTTCAGAGCTCAATCCACGTGGCGGTCAAGGAGAAGGCGATGATGATCGAGGAGAATGCGTTTTTGGCATCTGCGACACGAGGAGAATATTATGCGAGATTGGCGTTAGAGGTAGAGGACTAGAAAAAGACTACAAACTACAAACTACATAAAATTATTTTCAGATTTATGAATACAACCTCCCAGAATCTGAAAAGTTCCACGCTGCCCCGGATTCCTGGCAATCTCAGACTCCGCTGGCCACTCGGCATCAACAAATCATGAAACTATTCATCGTAATCAATCAGGACCCATTCCCTACGGAACCTGGAGCTCATTGGATCAATATGCCCTTGGACACTGCCATTAAATATGAGAAATTCTGGTTCGAGAAGTCGTCGAGCCAAAAAGTGTATTTCAAGGAAATGAGAAATCGTGCCGGCCACCATCACTCCCAGAATCGTGTGATGCCTTTGTTTTTGTGAACTGCGAACCTTTTTTGTTCAATGGAGCGCGCTTTTTGAACGCTATGCGATTTTTTATCGATTTTTGTCGTTTTTCGAACTTCTCACTGATTACTATTGCGTATTAGGCTCGAGCACACATTTTACGTGCTTTTTGAAAGCAGAAACAGCCAAAAATACGCAAAAATTGGTTTTTGCTCAGTGGAGCGCCGTTGCGCGCCCTGAAAATTTGAAAAACTGAAATTTCTGTTTTTTTTTCCTAACTGGCAGAAAACGTTTTTCAATTGTTCAATAACTATTTTCTGTTGGAAAACTCTAGAAATTAATAAATTTCAGTTTTTCGAAAAAAAAACAAATTTCTATCAATATTCATCGTTTTTTTCGTCAATGTTTTCGCTTTTTAGGCTCAAAAACACACTTTTTACGCGCTTTTCTAGAAAAAAAACGGTCAAAAAAATGCAAAAAGTCTAGTTCAGTCGCGCGCGCTTGCGCGGCGCGAAAATTCGAAAAATACGATTTTCAGCTAATTTTCATCGAGTTTTCATAGTTTTTTCAAAACGTTCATCGCTTAATATTGCTTTTCGGGCTTAGAACACACATTTTTAGCGATTTTCGTCGGGAACACAGCCAAAAATGCGTTTAGTTCAATGGAGCGCGCTTGCATTGCGCCTAACTTTCAAAAATCCGATTTTCAGCCAAATTTTATCGATTTTCATCGTTTTTCTGCCGATAAAACTGTTAATTAAGTTAGAAGAGACAAAAATTCCAATTTTTCGAATCTCGGTGCCGCGCAAGCGCGCTCCGCTGCACGAAAAGTTTGCAGTTCGAAATTCGATTTTTTTTTTCAAGCCCATTTTAACTCTTTTTTTCGCAAATTCTTAAAAATAATTTCTGTGAAATAAACATTCATTTTCTTTTTTTATCGATTTTTTAATTTTCTGTAATTTCAGCACGGTTTATTCCAGGTTTTCAAAAAAACAGAAGAAAATTAGGGGAGTTTTACTTGGGTTTTTTTGAAGGGGCAACGAGATACCCAAATTATACTGAAAAAATAAAAATTCACAACTCGGGGGTTTGGCGGGAAATTCAACATTTTCAAAATTTTCGAAATTTTCAAAAATCGAAAAGAAGAAAAACATGCAAAAAAGATATCATTTTTCGGGTGTGTGGGCGGAGAAAAAAAAAATCAATAACCCTGCTTCAGTGCTTCGTCGTATGCTTCAATTTTCGTCGTATGCTTCAATTCTCGGTATTGAGCGGCAACTTCGCCGGCTAGACTGGCGACGGCTTCTGGAGACGCGTTGGGTCCGCAACACGAGAAGACGTCCTCTTCTGTGTAGCTTTGGTTGTTGAGACGGAGACAGTACACGTGGAACCACTGGCTGCAGTCCGAGCACGACACCTGGAAGAGAAAAATTGGGGGTTTCTAGGCTATATGGGGCTCAAAATCAGTAAATTTGGATTTCTAGGCCATGGGCTAATTTTTAGGCAACGAAACTAGCTGTGTTGATTTCAGCTGTTAACCAGCTTCAAAATGAGTATACTTAAGCTTAGTTTCCTTTGAATTTGGTTTTCTAGGCCAGCTAGCGTTTTCTAGGCCACTCACCCATTGCAAATCCTTCCGCCTTTCCAATTTCACACACAAACAGTGCGACAGTTTCGCCACGCCGCACTTTTCCTTGTCCGCATCATCCGAATCGTCGCCGTTCTTCTTCTGTAATATCTTGGTAAAATTGATTTTGGACTTCTCGGCCACCAGTGGATTTCTAGGCCATGACATTGAAACCATCAGATTTGGTATTCAATGGGCTTTGAAATGAGTATAATCATGCCTAGGTTTGAAACAAGTCGACATTCTAGGCCACGGGTGTCGGATCCTAGGCCACCGTGGTATGGGGTCAAAACGGGGCGCAAGGATAACGGTGAAAAACGCTGTAGGGTAGTTTTTAGCGGGGAATTCGAATTCACAAGTTTCAAGTTGAAAAAATTAAGATTTCAAAAGTTAGGCCGGGGTGTCGGATCCTAGGCCACCAGTGGTATGGGGTCAAAACGGGGCGCAAGGATGACGGTGAAAAACGCTATAGGGTAGTTTTTAGCGGGGAATTCGAATTCACAAGTTTCAGTCAAAACAATTGGAGAATAAGAAAGTTAGGCCATGGGTGTCGGATTCTAGGCCACGAAATTTTTACCGTTTTTACCATCGCTTCGTTCTCGCCTAATTGAAATTATCGATTGATTGATTTTCCCGGCCCTGAAAATATCCGAGTAATTATAGGTTTTCTATGGGTTTTTAAGGATTTTGAACGATTCAGATGAGTCGATTAACTTCTTTGAATTTTCGATTTTTTTTTGGGGTTTTCTTGGAAATTCCAATTTTTCCAAAATTCGTAAAACTTAGGAATTTCTGGATTTTTAAAATGATTTTTTTTTCAGATTTTTCTAGAATTTGAAATTTCAGAAATCCTAAGCTTTCTATATTTTCAGATTTTCTAATTTTTCTAGAACTTGGAATTTTTGGAAAAGTTTCAATTTAAGAATTCCTGAAAATTAGTCTTCTGAAATTTGCTGGAATTTCCAATTTTTCTGAGGATATGAACTTTTTTTATATTTTCCTAAAATTTTGATTTTTCTAAAAATCCTGGATTTCTCAGTTTTTCGAGTTTTTCGAATTTTCGAATTTCTTTTCCCAAAATGTTTGGATTCTTAGGTTTTTCTGAAATTTCGAACTTTTGGAGAATTTCCAAATCTAAGTTTTAAAATTTCCTGGAATTTGGGTTTTTTTTGGTTTTTCTGAGGATACAGAAATTCTGAATTTTTGAATTTTTGGATTTTTTTTCCGGTTTTTCGGGTCTCCCTTAAATTTTCTGTGGAAAAACGAACCTTCTAGCCCTTCTGGAAGCCGAGATATAGCATTTGAAGTTTTGGAGAGACGCACACAACGAGACACGCTGCGTCTCTAACTCTAGCTGTCTGCGTCTCTCCTAAACTTTAAATGACCGTATCTCGGCTTGTAGGAAAGCTAGGAACTTGGTTTTCGAACCAAAATGATCCCTATAAAACCAGACAAAAATATGAATTATTGTGAAAATTCGAAAATCTGAAAAATCTAAAAATCCAAAGAATTGAGGAATTCAGGAAACCAGGAATCCAGGAACCGCTGAGGATATGAACTTTTTGGATTTTTTCCTAAAATTTTGATTTTCCTAAAAATCCTGGATTTCTCAGTTTTTCGAGTTTTTCGAATTTTCGAATTTCTTTTCCCAAAATGTTTGGATTCTTAGGTTTTTCTGAAATTTCGAACTTTTGGAGAATTTCCAAATCTAAGTTTTAAAATTTCCTGGAATTTGGGTTTTTTTTGGTTTTTCTGAGGAAACAGAAATTCTGAATTTTTGGATTTTTGGTTTTTTTTCCGGTTTTTCGGGTCTCCCTTAAATTTTCTGTGGAAAAACGAACCTTCTAGCCCTTCTGGAAGCCGAGATATAGCATTTGAAGTTTTGGAGAGACGCAGACAACGAGACACGCTGCGTCTCTAACTCTAGCTGTCTGCGTCTCTCCTAAACTTTAAATGACCGTATCTCGGCTTGTAGGAAAGCTAGGAACTTGGTTTTCGAACCAAAATGATCCCTATAAAACCAGAGAAAAGTATGACTTATTGTGAAGAATCGAAAATCTGAAAAATCTAAAAATCCGAAGAATTGAGGAATCCAGGAATCCAGGAACCGCTGAGGATATGAACTTTTTGGATATTTTCCCAAAATTTTGATTTTTCTAAAAATCCTGGATTTCTCAGTTTTTCGAGTTTTTCGAATTTTCTGGATGTTTAGGTTTTTCTGAAATTTCGAACTTTTGGAGAATTTTCAAATCTAAGTTTTAAAATTTCCTGGAATTTGGGTTTTTTTTTTGGTTTTTCAAAAATAAGCTGAAATTTCTGAAAATCTGATTTTTTGGATTTTCTGGTTTTCCTAGAATTTGAAATTCTCTAATTTCAGGATTTCAAGATTTCCAACTATTACTCTTGTCCGAAACCAATGCACGTTGCGGCCGAGAAAACAACGGTGGGCGGAGCTTAGCTCCCACAGAGAGAACCTTACTGTATTTTTCAAATTATTGCACGCGCCTTTAATACAGTACCTCAACATTTATCGAATTTTCTCAAATTTCTCTCATTTTTTCGCTTGTTTCTGTCTAATTTTGTGTAATTCTTATAAATCTTTAATTTATTTTTCTTATAAAATAGAAAAAAAACAGCCAAATAGGGCCCAAAATAAAAAAACGTCCGAGGTACGGTATTTAAAGGCGCATGCATCAATTTGTTTTTTCGCTGTGCGACCGACGATGCGATTTTGAGTAAATTTTAGGCCGCAGCGTGCATTGATTTCGGACGAGAGTAATATTTCGTCATTTTCGATGTTTCAATTTTTCTAAAAATCCAGCGAAAAAGAAAAAAAGGACTGGAACAAAAAAAGCATACTTGTAACGGCCCGGGCCCGGCCCGGCGGGCCTGTTATTCCAGAGGTTTTGAAAATTTCAAAAAACACATAAGGGGGGACCCTTATGTGATTTTTTTCGATCAAAAAATTTTTTTCGAGTTTTTTAAAATATTTTTCGATCAAACAGACAAACAATCCAAAAAGCACCAAAAAAATATAGAAAATTGTATTGAGAGCTCAAAATTCAGTTAAAAATGACAAAATTTTTGCTATCGGGCCTTCCGGGCCGGCCCGGAATTTTACAAGTATGAATAAAAGACACTCTCTGTGAGCAGTGATCGATTCGCTGCATGTGTTAGCCACTTTTCTTTTCGCCCTCTCACTCTCTCGCTTCTCGTCTGCGTCATCTCCCGAGAGAACACTCTCTACGCCCTGCTTGTCAGCTGGGACGACGAGGATGTACACCCGGAGAGGCGCAGACGACGAGAGACACACAGAGAGAGTAGGAAAAAGGTCTGATGACAGAACCTCGTTGCTGTGTTTTTTGGGCATTCAGGAGGAGGAACCTTGTGCGATGGAGCGCATTTGCTGAGGAAAATGAAAAATAGCACAAAAAAAATAGATAGTCCACAATCATGGAAAAATGAAAAACTGAATTTCGAAAAGTCTAAGAAATCTTAAAACATCAAAAAAAATCTGAAAATTTGAAGATTCTGAAAGTTCTGAAACAATAAGAATCCTGAAACTCTTTAAAAATCCAAAATTGAACCAAAATAAAATTTTTTTTCATGATTTGACAAGACTAAGAATTTTAAACATTTCTGCGGAAAAACGAACCTTCTAGCTCGTCTGGCTCGTCTAGCTCTAGCTCGTCTAGCTCGTCATCTGGAAGCCGAGATACAGCCATTTGAAGTTCTGGAGAGACGCAGACGACGAAACACGCTGCGTCTCTAACTCTAACTGCCTGCGTCTCTTCAAAACTTTGAATGACTGTACTTCGGCTCCTAGGAGAGCTAGAAAGTTGGTTTTGGAACCAAAATGATCCCTATAAAACCAGAGAAAAATGTGACTTATTGTGAAAATTCGAAAATCTGAAAAATCTAAAAATCCAAAGAATTGAGGAATCCAGGAATCCAGGAATCTAGAGAATCCAAGAAGTCTAAAAACCCTAAAATCCAGATACCCTCAACCAGCATCCACCCGTCATCTCTTTTTTTTTTAATTTTCCATAGAAACGTCATAAAGAAATAATTAAATAACTAACTTTTTCGCAAATTTCGAGTTTTTCAGCAAATATCAGCTTCCGAAACACTTAAAAACGCTTTTAACCAGTATTTCATCATGAAGACATCTTTTAAAATCCAGAAAATCAGCTGAGTTCAGTGGAGCGCAGTTGCGCGGCGCCGAAATTCAAAAATTCGATTTCCAGCCAAATTTTATCGATTTTGGTCGTTTTCCCGGAATTTTCGTTGTTTATCATTGCTTTTCTGGATCAAACACACAGCTTACGCGGTTTTTGAGCTGAAAAACAGCCCAAAATACAAAAAATACATTTAGTTCGATAGAGCGCGCTTGCGCGGCGGTAAAACTTCAAAAATCCGATTTTCAGCCAAATTTTATCGGTTTTTTTCGGAATCCTGAATGATTATTATCGTTATTAGGCTCGAACACACATTTTAAGTGCAAAAAGCAAACAGTTTGTGGGAAAAATTGAAACAAAAATGTTTTTTTTTTCGAAAAATTCCAGTATTTAATTTTTTTTCTCAAATTTCGAGCTTTTCAACAAATAATAGCTTTGGAAACACTCAAAAACCCCTTTTTACTAATTTTTCATCATAAAAAAAGCTTTTAAAATCCGGAAAACTCGGTTTTTCCAATTTCGGCGCCGCGCAAGCGCGCTCCGCTGAACAAAAAGCTTGCAGGTCGATTTTCAAAATTCGGGTTTTTTTCTCTTTTTTCATGAATTTTCTCAATTATTTCTGTGAAATAAAAATTTTCCTTTTTTATCGATTTTTCAATTTTCTGAAATTTCAGCAAAAAAAACAACATTTTCTCATCGGGATTACTGTTTATTCCGGGTTTTTCACAACAAGAAAAAATAGGAAGAAAAAAGGCACCACACACACATTTTCGAACAGAAAAAAATACGAAGAAAAAATTAGGCGGGAAAAAGGGGCGTGGCTAGAGGGCATTAACGGGGAAAAAAGGGGGCGTGGCTTGAGGCATTTTGGCTGAGTGTGAGTGAGAAATGAAAAACGGGAGGACTGAGGACCATTTGAGTGTTTGGAGCAGAAACTGGGATCAAAAAAGGGGCGGCGGGGCTTTGGGGCGGAAAATCGGGATGGTGTGAGAGGAAAAAAAGGGGCGGGGCTTAGTGTGATTATGTGTAAAGGTAGATATTTTTTTTCTCAAAAAAGGGGCGGGGTTGGGGGAGTTTTACTCGGGTTTTTACTGTAAAAATAATAATAAATTCACAACGCGTTGGTTGGGCGGGAAATTCAAAAAATTCAAAGTTTTGAATTTTTCAAAAATCAATAAAAAGAAAAAAAATGAAAAAAAAACAAATTTTTTTTGGGTGTGTGTGGGCTTGGTTAGGGCGGAAAAAAAAATCAATAACCCGCTATTAGGATCAAAATAGAGACGAGAGTGGACCAATGTGTGTGGGGAAGATTTTCGGGTGAAGAGAAAATAGGGAAAAATCGATATTTTCAGATTTTTCGAAAATCTGAAAATTTGGGAAAAAAAATGTGAAATGCTACCTCGGTGTTACTAATTATGTGTGTTATATATTCCTGGGGGCTAGAAGAAAGAAAACGGCGGGAAGTTAAATAACTCAAAAAAAAAAATTTTTTTCAAAAAAATTTTTTAGGCGGGAAATTCGGGAAAAAAATTGCAAAAATTCAAATTCGCTCCAGTGATTCGATTTTCTCCTGATGCCTCAGGTCTCGGTATTGGGCGGCAACTTCGCCGGCCAGACTGGCGACGGCTTCTGGCGACGCGTTGGGTCCACAACACGAGAAGACGTCCTCTTCTGCGTAGCTTTGGTTGTTGAGACGGACACAGTACACGTGGAACCACTGGCTGCAGTCCGAGCACGACACCTGGAAGAGAAAAAATTGGGGGGGGGGGGGGGGTTTTCTAGGCTATATGGGACTCAAAATCAGTGAATTTGGATTTCTAGGCCGTGGGCGAATTTCTAGGCCATTAAACTTCTACCATTCGATTCGTCTGCCAATGCACTTTCAAATGAGTATACTCAAGCCCACTTTCCTTTGAATTTGGTTTTCTAGGCCACTATAGATTTTTCTAGGCCACCAGACTTACCCATTGCAAATCCTTCCGCCTTTCCAATTTCACACACAAACAGTGCGACAGTTTCGCCACGCCGCACTTCTCCTTGTCCGCATCATCCGAATCGTCGCCGTTCTTCTTCTGTAATATCTTGGAAAATTTGATTTTGGATTTCTCGGCCACCAGTGGATTTCTAGGCCGTGAAATTCATACCATCAGATTTGGTTTTCGATGGGCTTTCGAACGAGTATAATCATGCCTAGGTTTGAAACAGGTTGAATTCCTAGGCCACGGGTGTCGGATTCTAGGCCACTATTGGTTATGGGTCAAAACGCGTCCTAGGGGAGCTGGAGATAAACGTTCTAGAGTAGTTTTTTGCAAGGAATTCGAATTTACAAGTTTCAAGTGTGGAAGATGAAGATTTAAAAAGTTAGGCCATGGGTGTCGGATTCTAGGCCACCAGTGGATTTCTAGGCCGTGAAATTCAAACCATTGGATTTGCCTTTGAATGGGCTTTCAAACGAGTATAATCATGCCTAGGTTTGAAACAGGTTGAATTCCTAGGCCACGGGTGTCGGATTCTAGGCCATGGGTGGTTTTGGGCCAAAAAGGGTCACAGGGAAGCCGGGAAAACGCGTCTAGGGTAGTTTTTTGCAAGGAATTCGATTTTGCAGGCTTCACGGGAGAAAAATAACGATTAACAAAGTTAGGCCAGGGTTGTCGGATTCTAGGCCACGAGGCGGATTTAGGCCCAAAACGGTCCAATTTGAACGTTTAAAAATGGTTTCCGGGGTCAAATTTTATGGGGAATTCAATAAGATTGCTCACCCTTCCACGTCGCTGCTGCTTTCTCGGCTGCGGCTCCTGCTCACTTCCATCGTCGTCGACAGCTCGTTTCCGACGCGACGACGTCGTTCCTTCACCATCGGTCCGTCGAGCTGCGGGCTTCCGGCGTGTCTTTGGCGTCTCCTTTTTCGACGTTTCATCATTTGCCACGTCTTCATCGTCCTTCCTCGGCTTCCTTGGCGACGTCGCCTTACGTGTAGATCGTCTCGACGTCTTCGCCTTCTTCTTACCGCCGTCATCTTCTGAATCCGATTCGGCCGACGACGCATCGTCCAACTGCTTCATTCGACGCTCTTTGGGTGACGACGTTGACGTCTTCTTTTTCTTCGAAGCAGAAGCGTCCGACGTCGATGGCGTCGCTCCAGATGACGTTGGCGCTCCAGAAGACGGTGTCATCGTTGCGGCGATCGCTTTGATCTTTTTGACGTTCTCCTTCACGACTTCCTCTACAGTATCTGCTGCTTTTTCTGCGTTTTCCTTGAGAGTGGATTCTGAAGGTGGCGTCACGTCTTCTGACGTCTTCTTGGGAATCGGAGAACTCAGAGGAGTGGGACCAGTGGAGACGACGGCAGACGGGGTGGATTGCGCTTCCATTCGTGGCGTCGTCGATTGGCGAAGATCGATTTCGGGTTCCTGGAAAAAATTGTTTTCTAAAAATGGTCCAAAATCGAAAATTTCCTAGATGGCCGAGTTTTGGATTTTCTAGGCCACCAGTGAATTTCTAGGCCACGAAATTTATACCATTGGATTTGTCTCGCATTGGGCTTTCAAACGAGTATAATCATGCCTAGGTTCAACGCAAGTTGAATTTCTAGGCCACGGGTATCGGATCCTAGGCCACCGGTGGTTTCGGGCCAAAACGGGCCGCAAGGGGAGCCAGGGGAAATCGTCCTAGGGTAGTTTTTTGCGAGGAATTCGAATTCACAAGTTTCAAGTCGGAAAAATGAAGATTTAAAAAGTTAGGCCGGGGGTGTCGGATTCTAGGCCACCAGTGGTTTTTAGGCCGTAAAAGGCCTAAAATGGCTCGTTTTGGACGTTTGAAAAGGGGTGCCAGGGTCAAATTGCATGGGGGAATTCGATTTTTACCTTAACAACGTCGTCTGGCGATGGTGTCGGTGTGGATTCCGTCTCCTCGCCTTCCATCTCCTCCATCTCCTCCTCCTCGGCGTCTTCGGCATCTGGCGATTCTGGAGCATTTTCTGGAGCAGCAGGGGCGACCACGTCTTCTGGAGATTCTGCGGCAATCTGTGGGACTTGTGGAGCATCGTCATCTTCCGTGCCAACGACATCGATCTCGCTCTCTTCCGAATCCGTACGTCGTCTCGAGAAGTTGTTGTCGGTGGTGGATCCCGAGCTCGCCGAGTGTCTCTCCTCGTCAATGTCGATTCGCTCGCGGCCCGGCGCATGAGCAATCACTCCGATGTGTCCGTGGCCCCCACCGGCCCCGGCAATCGGCACCACATCCACCGCTCGCCTCACCGGCGTCAAATAATGCTGATAATGGCACTTTCCATATGCGTAATTGCTGAAAGTGGCCAACTGAACCGCGTGGTAGAAGCTGAACGACGTCGGGCTGAAAGCTTGAAGCTGTCCATTACGCGCCGCCGCATCTGCCAACGGCTCCACCTTCTCATGAGCCACGTTCAGGGATCGTAGATGGTTGATGTAGTGCTGCTCAGAGTTCAGCGGATTCCGTGCCCTCGGTTTCCAGATTCCCGACGTCGGCGGTGTTGCCGTAGATCGAAAAGCGCTCGTCTCACTGTGCACCCACGGCATGGTGTCCTTTTTCGGGGATCCATCGGCTGCCAACTGCTCTACTAGGTCGTTCAGCTCAACAGTCTTCTCCTGCTCGTCCTCGGCCGCCAAAAACTCGGCCATTGGTTCGCAAAACTCAGCCAGCTCCTTCGTTTCGGCGTCATCAGCGCACTGCTTTCTCAATAGTTCCAATTTCTGGTCCCGGGTCAAGAATTGGGTGTACACACAGCAGTGAACGCTGAGCAGCTCGGTGACGGCGTCTTTGTGCGCTTCGAGAGCGGGAATTTGAACGAGGAGCCGCGCGTATTGCTCCATGAGCTTGTCCGCAAACTGTTTCGACACGCGGGTTAAACGGTGACGTGACAGATTCTTGGGATCGTCGAAACGCGATTCGTGCGGCGCTTTGGCGGGTGCGTTCAGCAGAATAATCGATGAGGACGACGATGATGATGTGCACTGAAAATCGATAAATTAGTGAAAATTCCGAAAATTCGCTTTGAAATGGCCAAAAAACCAGGTGGCCGAGTTTTTGGCATTTCTAGGCCACTATCAATTTTTGAGATTTTTTTGATTTTTTTCTGCTCAATAGCGCTAAAAGCCACTAGAATTCATGAAAAAGTCCCTGAAATCCCTAAAAAGTACCTAAAACCCCTCGAAAACAGCCCAAAAACACCCGTGGCCGAGTTTTCAGATTTTCTAGGCCACCAATCTCCAAAACCATCGATTTTCAGAGATTTTTTGCCGGAATAACACTTAAAATGACTAGAATTCATTAAACAGCCATAAGATGCATAAAAAAGCGTCTAAACATCAACGAAAAACGCCAAAAACATCCATGGCCGAGTTTTTGCAATTTCTAGGCCACTAATGTTTTATTTTCAGTATTTTTAGATTTTTTTTAGTTATTTAAATAGCTAGAATTCATTGAAAATAACCTAAAATACTTTAAAAAGTCCTTAAAAACCCTTAGAAACGCCCAAAAACACCCGTGGCCGAGTTTCCCGATTTTCTAGGCCACCATCAATTTTGATGATTTTGGAGACATTTTTGCTGAAATAATACTCTTAAAATGACTAGAATTCGATAAATAGACCATGGAACTTTCAAAAAGCCTCCTAAACCGCTCAAAAACGCCGAAAACACCCATGACCGAGTTTTTGGCATTTTCTAGGCCACCAAACTCCAAAACCTCCAAAAACAGCCAAAATTTTTCGATTAAAATTCTCAGAAAAACCCCTACCGGCATCTGCTCTGAATCCGTCAACGATCCATTTGACGTCGATCCGTTGACTGGACTGGAAGTGGGCGGAGCCGAGGACGAGGTGGCGACCGACGTCGATGACGTGGCAGTGTCTCCAGAAGTCGATGGACCAGCTGTGGACGTCGATGGAGCGGTGTTGTTGGATTCAGAAGGTTCTGGAAGACCTGGAAAATATTGATTTTTTGAAAAATTCGAATTTTCTGGCTTAAAAATCTCTCTTTTCAATTTCCAAAACCAAAAAAACACCCCAAAATCGATTTTTGACCTTAAAACAATCAATTTCTCACCATTATTCGTCGAATCCGCCTCCATGACCTGCGTGGCAGCGGGAAGCGGCTCCGAATGGTCCCTGACGCCTAAGTCGCGCACAATCGACTCCTTGGACAACACTTTGACCTTCCGATCCTTGATATTCAGCACTTTCCGGCCCAGCACCGTATCCTCATCGGCCATATCGACGATGAACGCAAAGTCCGCTTCTGGATGAGCAATTTCAGCGCCCGCCGGATGACTCAGACTGTTTCGGTGGCCGAATTTCACGACTTGACCGATTTCGAGGATGTGTCGCTCTTCTTTCTGCAAAAAAAAATGATAAAAAATGCGAAAATTTGAAATTTTTTGAGGTGGCCGAGTTTTGAAATTTCTAGGCCATCAGCTGATTTTTTCAATGAAAATATGTTGAGAAAGCGATCCTCAAAACAGAAATCCACAGAACAGGCAAAAATGCCAGAAAAATCCGAGAAAAACGACCAAAATTCAAAATTTTCGCGGTGGCCGAGTTTTGGATTTCTAGGCCACCAAACACTTTTCGGCTTGAATTTTCGCGATTTTTGTGTCAAAACTCGCTATTTTCTCGTCTACTTAGCATGAAAAATAAAAAAAAACTCTTCCGGAATTTTTCAAAAAAAAATTTTTTTTTGAAAATTTTGATTTTTTCGAGAAAGATAGATTTAAAAGCATCTGGAAATCTGAGAAATCAATGGAAATGGGCAGAAAATACACGAAAATTCATGAAAATTGAGCCAAAAATCGGCAATTTCCAAAGTGACCGAGTTTTCGAATTTTCTAGGCCACCAGTGTCATTTTTAGATGAAAAAAAGGTGAGAAGGCATCGAGAAGCTCAAAAAATCAATAAAAAATGAGCCAAAAATTCAAAATTTTCGCGGTGGCCGAGTTTTGAATTTCTAGGCCACCACTCAAATTCGGGCTCATTTTGAAGCTGCTCCGCATGGCAAATCTCCCCAAACTTACACACAGCCGTCGATCGTTGATGTACGTGCCGTTCTCCGAGTGATCCTCTATACGGTAGATCAAATTTTTCGCCAAATTACTGTAGGTGACGTCGATGTGCGCGTGGTGTCGCGAGATGTTGACGTCTCTGCAAGAAGCATAGATTTTATTGATTTTTTCAATATTTTTTTCAGTTTTTCAGCCAAGATCTTCGGTCCAGACAGAGAAAAAAGAACAATAATAATTCGTATAGATGTTTCTAGAGAATTGCGAATGTTCTCGAATATTCTAGACAGTTTTTTTTTCTAATTTCCGCTAATGGGAAAAATATGAAAAAATTAATAAAAATTTTTTTTTTTTAATAATGAATTATTGAGAAAACAACAAGCTGAAGCTGAAATTTCGACTAAAAATCGCAAATTTCTCGCCGCCGGTGGCCTAGAAATCCAAAAAAAAAAACTCGGCCAGCGCTCAGGTTGTGAAAATCGAAGAATTTCCAGGCGGCGCGGTAAATTCAAATTTTTCGTATAGAATTCGCCAATTTTTCAAAAATAAGAATCGAAAAAAACAAATTAATTTTCACCTGCTTTTAGCCGAAAAAAAATGCAGGTGAAAAATGAAAAAAAAAAATTCTCATGACTTTTCTTTTTCGATTTTTTCGAAAAAGAGTAGATCAAAGATTTTTGTAAAGTCTCAAAAAATTGGTGTAGATCAGAAAAAAATTTTCAAAAAAATTTTTTTTTTAAAGAACCGCAGTTTTTCAGCAAAATCCAGACACAAAAGTCATCAAAAAGCCTTCAAAATCGCGAAAATTCAAGCCGAAAACCGGTCGGTGGCCTAGAAATCCCAAACTCGGCCACCGCGAAAATTTTCAAATTTCGCTAACTTTAAGCAATTTTAAGGCATTTTAAGGCAATTTAAAGCGATTTCAAGTACTTTCTGATCATTTCAAGACTCTAAAAATCGATTTTTAAGCCTAAAAACTGATAATTCCAGTTTTTAGGCTTAAAAATTGTTTTTCTTTCTCAATTTTTAGGTGACTCAGAAAAGAAGGAAGAAAATTGAATTCGTACTAGTCATTAGAGTCGGCGAAAACACACTCAGAAACCTGCCTGCCTTTTTGTTCTCCCAACGGCGACGTGGTTGCCATGGAGCCAAAAGGCGGGGGGGGGGGGGGGAAGGCGAGAAAAAATGTGGGCGGAGCTTAGGAATTGAGAAAAAGAAAAAAAATAGATGGTTAGAAGAATTGGAAAACAGAAAATTAGACTTTTTCTGGAAAAAAAATTGAAAAAAATCGAAAAAAAAATTTGTTTTCGAAAAAATCGATATCGGAAAAAAGTGGGCGGAGCTTCTTGAAAACTCACTCTTTTTCGTCTTCTGACTCTCCGCGAAAAAATATAACATCGTTCGAAAGCGACCGGCCGAAGTTGGTTCTCTTGTTTTGCAGTCTGAAATTTTGGAAAATTTGAATTTTTAGAAAAAAAATTTTAATTCTTGAATATTTTTTTCCAATTTTTCTAATTTTAAAATCAATTTTAGGGGTTCCTGACCCTAAAAAATCGATTTTTCAGGTTATTTTCAGCGAAAACTCACGAAACGATCGCTTTCAACAGCTCATCGTCGGTGGGCGGTTCGGTTCTCGGTGGGCCCGTGTTCCGTGCCAATCGACGAAGAAATAGTTGGTCCTGGCTGTTCATTGAGTTTTAATTTCAGCGCATTCCCTGGCCCTGAAAACAGAAAAGTTAAAAATAAAAACTTTTTTTTTTGAAAATACGAAAAAAAAATCGAAAATTCCAGAGAAAAACACGCTAAGATGAAGAGTTTGATGGTTTTAGACAGAAAAATCGATATTTTCAAGCTTTTTTAGGCCTAAAACTAAGAAAAATGAAGAAAAACTGAGAGAATGGCGAAAAAACGAAGGGGGACTAGTTTTTGCAATTTCTAAATTTCTAGGCCACCGTGGTCTCAAAATTATCGATTTTTAAATGAAAAATAGTGCAAACAAAAGCAAGATTCAAAGGAAAAATAGGGGAAAAAAACCGAGAGAAGGGGGCGAGGGACTAGTTTTTGCCAGGAGTTTTCTAGGCCATAATTTTTAAAATTTGAATTTTCGATCGATTTTTTTGGCGATTTAAGTGATAATCATATAAAACAAAAAAATTTCCAGAAAAGTGACCGGAAAACACAAAAAATCCGGTATTCGAGAACTTTCGGCCGGCTACACTGAAAGGCGAAAATTATCGATTTGAACTTTTCGATAAGCGATTTCAATGACAAATATAACAAAAACTAATCAGCTGCAGTATCGATAAAAAAGTGGAAAAGAAGAAGAAGAAGACAGTGTCTGTCAATCAAAACCGCACAATCACATTTTAAAGGGGGGACGACGAGTATTATTATCATTTTATTATCAAATAGAAGGAAAAAGAAGACGAAGTGATCGAACGATTGATGAAGTGGATGACGTTGATCGAAATCACATTTTCAGAAGTTAATGCCTGCCGCGCGCGCGCGCACGCGACGCGGCCGAAACTTGGCGCCAAAGAAAATCGATAATACAGAAAGTGAGATTCTTTGCGACTTTTATTGAAAAAACTATAAAAATCGACTATAAGAGTCGGTGGCCGAGTTTCTCCGAATTTTCTAGGCCATTTTTGTAATTTTTCCGATATCGATTTTTCGCAAAAAAAAAACCGGCGCTTTCGCAATTTTCTTCCCCCTAAAATTGTGTACTTTAGTTTTCAAAAAATCTATGTCAATATTGATTTTCGGGAGTGGCTGTGTGGCGGCTTCGGCCAGTTTGGCCGACGTGAATGCGCTCGAACACGAAATTCCTGCATACTGTAGGTCAAGAAAGCTGTGGATAATTGAATTTTATAAAAAATTCGAGAGAAAAAATGAGCGGAATTTGTCCAAAAACGGTGGTAGATCAAACATTTTTTTTTTTGGAAAAAATTCAATTTTCTCGCCAAAAAATTAGAAAATCGGAATTTCAATAAAAAGGGATAAAGAAAAATGGATCGTAAAAAAGAAGGTGTCTAGACTTTTTGAATTAAAAATTGTTTTTTTTTCAAAAAAAAATTTTGGCGGGAAAATGAAAAAATAGGGAAAAAAGTGAGCCAAAAATAGAGGCAATAAAACTACAGTAATCCAAAAAAAGAGGGGGAAAATCGGCTGTTATTATATTTTGGCCATTTAGCTCTTTTTGTTTTTCTGGAAAATTGGAAAATTGAAATTTTTGGGGAAAAAATAATTTTCAAAAAAAATTGAAATTTAGGTAAATTTTCAGAAAATCGAAAAATTCGATTTTGGAATTTCAAAAAATTTGGAAATTCAAAAATTCAAAAATTGAGAAATTGAGAAATTGAGAAATTCAAAAATTCGGAAATTCTAAAATTCGGAAATTCAGAAATTCAGAAATTCTGAGATTCTGAGATTCTGAGATTCTGAGATTCTGAGATTCTGAAGTTCTGAGATTCTAAGATTCTCAAATTCTGAGATTCTGAGATTCTGAAATTCTGATATTCCGAGATTCTGAAGTTCTGAGATTCTAAGATTCTGAAATTCTGAGATTCTGAGATTCTGAAATTCTGATATTCTGAGACTTTGAATTTCTAAGTTTCTGAGATTCTGAGATTCTGAGATTCTGAGATTCAGAAATTCAGAAATTCTGAGATTCTGAGATTCTGATGTTCTGAGATTCTGAGATTCCGAAATTCTGATATTCTGAGATTCTGAAGTTCTGAGATTCTAAGATTCTGAAATTCTGAGATTCTGAGATTCTGAAATTCTGATATTCTGAGACTTTGAATTTCTAAGTTTCTGAGATTCTGAGATTCTGAGATTTTCAGAAATTCAGGAAATTTTGAAAAACAGTAAAATTCCATACACTCAAAAATCCAAAAATGTAAAACTTTTGGGAATTTCAACATTTCAAAACAAAATAGAGAAAGAGTCAAAAGGGAGACTACAGTAATCCAAAAATTGCAACAAGCAAAAAAAGTTTGAAAACTACAGTAATCTCCTATTTCAAAATTCCAAAATTCCCATTGGAATTTATGATTCCAACTATAAAATTGAAAAAAAAGGAGAGAGTGAAAAAAGAAAGGCTTCCATCCGGTCGAGAAATTTAGCCGACCGACCGACATCCGACCGTTTTCGTGCATTTGCGCGTCAACGTGTTTGCATACGCTGCATTGTATTTTACGAAAAACTACTCACTAAAATCCTCGTTTGTCGTAAAATAAAGTGCTTCGTACTCGGCGCGCCGACCGATCGGTCAGCTCGGTCGGTGGTCGGTCGACCGACCGAAGCCTTAGAAAAAAGAGCAAGCACAAATTCCTCATACGTTTTTGTGGTCCATTTTCCATTCTATCCTTTTCTCTCCTATCGAAAAAAAGAGAGAAAATAATGGATGTGTAGAGTGGCTGTGTTTGTGAAAAAAGAGAAGAAAAACGAACTCTTTCTCTCTCTCTCTCTCTTCTTCTTCTTTTTTTTTCTTTTAAAAAGAAAAATGATTGCGAAACAACAAGAAAACCTATTTTCTGTTTCCTTTGCCCCCCTCCTATTTCTTCATTTTCTCTGGTTACAGTAATCCTTATAGATAAGTGGAGTAATTAAGGAAAATTCGAGAAATCTAAAGTTTAGCAAAAATCCAAAATGAAACTAAAAATTTTGAAATTTCAAAATGCAGAAATTGGGTAAAAGATTCTGAAAATCTAAAAAATTCAAAGTTTTCCAATTTTCGTGTTTTTGAGTGTTTGGGTAAATTAGAAATTTCTAGAAAATTCAAAATTTGGGCTTTTTGGGAAATTGAAAAAAATTAGGAATTCATCAAAATTCAAAGCTAGGAATTTGGAATTTTCAGAAATTTCGAAATATAGAAAACGGACAATTTATAAACACAGAAATTTGGAAAATCCAAAAATTCCAAGAAGTTCCAAAACTTGAAAATACAAAAAAAAAGAAATTTTCAAAAATTCCCGAATTCAGAAATTCAGAAATTCGGAAAATCAGAAAATCAGAAACTCAGAAAATCAGAAATTCAGAAATTCATAAATTCATAAATTCGGAAATCAAGAATTTCAGAAACTCAGAAATTCAGAAACTCAGAAATTCAGAAATTCAGAAATTCAGAAATTCAGAAATTCAGAAATTCAGAAATTCAGAAATTCAGAAATTCAGAAATTCAGAAATTCGGAAATTCAGAAATTCAGAAAACTCAGAAATTCAAAAATTCAGAAATTCAGGAATTCAGAAATTCAGAAATTCAGAAATTCAGAAACTCAGAAATTCAGAAATTCAGAAATTCAGGAATTCAGAAATTCAGAAATTCGGAAAATTCGAAAAAGCTAGAAAAAAGAAAAATTGGATTTTCTGAAAATTCCTATAAATTGAAAAATAGGGTAATTTCGGAATACTAAAAGAGAAGATAATTGGATTCTCAGGAAATCCAAAAATCCAGAAATTTGAAAAAATCTGAAATTGAGCAAGCAATTTTTGTATTAGAGTTCCTAATTTTTAATTAAAAAAAGATTTGTTTTGAAAAAAAAAAGAAATCTAGAAAATCTCGAAATTTAAAAACATAATGGAAAATTGTGACAGGTGTTTGTTAGAAGAATTTTCTGCATTTTTCTAGATTAAAAATTGAGAAAAGCTGAAATTCCAATAAAATAGAAAAATATAGTCCAAATCAAAGTTTGAAAACTTATAAAAGAGAAAATTCAAAGTGTCACAAAAATGAAGGAAGGATAGTTCTATTGGGTAAATTAGAAATTTCTAGAAAATTCAAAATTTGGGCATTTTGGAAAATTGAAAAAAATTAGGAATTCATCAAAATTCAAAGCTAGGAATTTGGAATTTCCAGAAATTTCGAAATATAGAAAACGGACAATTTATAAACTCAGAAATTTGGAAAATCCAAAAATTCCAAGAAGTTCCAAAACTTGAAAATACAAAAAAAAAGAAATTTTCAAAAATTCCCGAATTCCAAAAATCTGGGAATCCAGAAAATCAGTATAATTTGGAAATTCGGGAAAATTGGATTTTCGAAAATTATGATTTTGAAAAGTTTGAAAATCAGAACTTTGGAAATTCTGAATTCCAAGAAATTCGGAATTCTTCGGAAAATCTAGAAAAAGTTCAATGTATTGATTTGCAATAGATTGAATCAAATTGAAAAACACCAAAAATTTGGCTTCTTTAGAACCTGCAAAAAATCCAAAACTTCGAATTCCAATCTAAAAGATTCTGGAACATTCTTTAAAACAACTCCAAGTACAAAACGAACTAGAAGCTCTAGAAGATTCGATTACTGGGACCAAAATCAATAAAAAGGAGAAGAAAAAAGGTTGATCTATTCGTCATCGGTTGGTGGTTTTTTCCTCCATCAACCGTGTAGCCTCCGCCTCGTTTTCTGCCGAAGATGGCTGATGGAGAAGAAGAAGAAGAAGAAGAAGAAGAAGAAGAAGAAGAAGAGGAGGCGCGGGGCGCCCGATAGGCACACACACTATGTCGTTTCTTTCTTCTCTCAATCAATAGGAAAAGAGAGAGAGAGAGAGAGAGAGAGAGAGAGAGAGAGAGAGAGAGAGAGAGAGAGAGAGAGAGGCATGCGTGTGTGTCTGCTGCGCCGGCGCGCGCGCGAAACACCGTACACTTTTGAAGAGACGCCAGACACGGGCGGTGCGGAGAGAGAGAAAGAGAGACGAGTCCTTGGGGACGAACTAGCTTCGCCTTCCCTTCCCCTGACACAGGCTCTTGTGTCTCTTCGGCCGACACAGAGACATAGAATGGGGGGAAGAGAAGAGTACATTTTCGTATAAACGACACACCAGCGCGTCGACTTGACTACTAAATGTACAACACAGTGTCTTCTGTGTTTTAAAGAAAAATGTCCCTTTTTTGCCTTCCTTTAGTGGGCCTTTCAATTATGGTAATTGACAGAGTGAACTTTTGAAAAATCGATATTTTTTTCGCGGGCTGCTTTTTTTTTGGAGTAGCTGAGAACTCGAAATTTTCGAACAAAAAAATTTGAAGCTTTCTCGTCGAGAAAAACGCTGTTATACTGTAGTATACGGTATATTCGCGGTAGAGCGCATTTACACGACATTCCCAAAAAATTGGACTATCTAAAACTCTGGCGAAATCGTTATGCGCTCCATTGCACATATGCGCTCCAACGCAAACATACCGTAATACTACAGTAAGACTATTGATGTCTGAATTCCCATCAGAAATAAAAACGCGGGAAAACTTTTTAGGCAAAAATTTGAAATTTTTCGAAATGAACTATTTTCCAGTTTACGCGTTTTTGACCTAAAAAGTCTGAAAAATTCAAAATTTTGCATGTTACTTCCTGAAAATATGGTATGCATACACCGAGTTTCACGACAAAATGCACGAATTCAAAGTTTTGCAGTGTAGCGCGTTTGCACTTTGGTTTTTTCTGCGCCTTTAATTACCTTTCCGGTTGTGTAGCGACCGCGCGCGCGGCACGCGACGCGTCAGTGTTTGGCGCCAATTTGCCACGTCACCTAATTTTAGTTTGTGATCTACCATAACATCATCACAGAAAAACAAGTCAACATTTTTTTAGGTCGGAAAATTTATAAAAATAAATAAAATGATGCAAAAAACCGGCGAAAAAAAATTCGTTATCTAACCATCTCCTAATCTATTCAACCCCACCACGAACGGAATTTTTCTGTGCCCTTGTCATCGGTATAACCCTGACATATTTTTTTTTGCTGCTGAAGAAGACGGGGAACTGGTTGCCGAAGATGAAGAAGACGTCGACGTCTTCTGCCTGCCTGACTCACACTTATTTTTCTTTGCGTTTCTTTTCGTTTTTTTTCCCAGAATTCATTTCATGTTTTTTCTCTCTTTTTTCTTCCGCTTCTTTTGCACAACACGGAGAGCTCAGCTTTTAACGAAAAACAAGACATAGATCTATGGTGTTTGGGACACACAGCTGCCTCTCTTCTGATCGCAATCAGTGGCGGCCACTATCAGTATATCATCAAGGTCTCGTGATTCGTTGTGTCAATGACACGGCCAGTGATATACTGATTGTGTGTGTGTATGATTCTGCACGTGTCCCTCTTGTTCTCGCTGTATTGAACTTGTTCTTGACCTCGATAAGGTGTCTTGTTTGTGGTTCTGCCTAGTCAGGGAGCAGTTAGACCTCGAAAATTGAACTTTGGCGCCGAAAATTGATTTTTTGTACACGTTTTCCCCGTTTTTTTTTTCTTTTTCTGGGGTTTTTCGGTCCAAAAACACCTAAATTATCGATTTTTTGGCTTTTCTAGAGGTCAAGTTTGAAAACATCACAATTCTCCAAACCTTTATGTTCAACACAAGAAGTCAGAAATTTCAATTTCTGCAAAATATTCAATTTTTTTTTGTAATGCACCAGATTTGACGACAAAATGCACAAAATTCAATTTTTCGACTTTTCGCCTCTAAAAACTTGGTCCCAGAGATAGATTTATTCGAGAATTTCAAATTTCGGAATTAAACTTCCATTTCAAATTTCGGAATTAAACTTCCATTTTTTCGAGTTTTCGACCTGAAAAATCGATTCCGAGCGTAAAAGAACCGTGGAAAGTCGAATTTTAGCATAAATTTAGCCAAAAATTATCGAAAAATGTAAAATGTCGAAATTCCAGAATACACCAGACTTGACGACAAAATGCACAAAATTCAATTTTCATAGTTTTTACCCTAAAAAGTCGGTCCTCAGGACAAAAACACCCGGGAAACTCGAATTTTCGCATCAAATCAGCGAGAAATTCATAATATGCCAGATTTCACGACAAAATGCACCAATGTTCATTTTTTTGAGTTTTCAACCTGCGAAAGTCGAATTTTCGCCGAAAATCAATAAATTCCGTTTTCAAATTCTCTCCTTTTCTCCTCGACGGGGCGGCATTTCGGCCAACTTTAAACCGCTTTTCTCTTCTTCCCCTTTCAAACAGAAGCCGCACTTTCCATTGTCACCATCATCATGCTGCCGAACTTTTGTCTGAACCCATTGTTACAACACTAGCTGTAGACATCCCGCCCCCCCCCCCTTTGAAATACTGTGTCTAATTTGATAACATCAATTACCGTACTCCCGCACACCAATTACTGTTTTCGGGGCGTGTAAGTGTTGTTATTGAGTTTTCCCCTTGTCATATCACTGATAACAGGTCACCACTGATCACTAGATGTTTTTCTGTGTTTTTCTGTGCGAATTGTCGTAGGGTTTGGTGTCTTATTGGGGGAATCTGAATTCAACTATTTTTCTGGAACTTTCAGGCAGGGAATTTTGAAGTTTCAGGTTTCAAAAGGACAAAAAAAAATCGATGAAAAGTGCAACAGGCGTCACAGGCGGAACACAAACGGGGCGCTATTTGAAAAAAACTGGATGACTCAATGACGAAAAAAAAGCGACGTGTAGTAGAAGTGTCTCGTTTCCTGCTGTCTCTCTTTGATAGGCACACTTGACATGGAAAATAGGGGGTGTATTGGATATGTTTACATTCGAGAAAAGATAGAGAGAGAGAAACAGAGGTCTATGGCCTTCTGCCCGTCGGGCGGCGCGTCGGAAAACGAAAAGAAAAGACAATTTGTTTAGATAAACACACGGGGAAACTTGAGAAAGAGAACTAGAGACACCGAACGGTGAATGACGAATTTTCAGTGATTTTCGCCGATTTGCCTCGATGGATAACCTGGAAAAATTGAGAGAACCTGCTTCATTTTAAGCCGTTTAATTGATTTATTCAGAAAATGATTGGAAAATCCTGAAAAATTTCGAAAAACAACGAGAAATCACTGAAAACCCCGAAAATCGATAATTTTCCAGGTGAAAATTTATTTTCGATGACCGTACTCCTAGTTTCAAGGTGCATGGCCATGCGCATGGTTGGAAGTTGCGAAAGTTGTGCAAACACCACTACGCAGAATTACGGACTTTGGAGTTTTTCGACCGATTATTGTTTTGTTTTCGGGCTTTTTTCAAGGGTTAAATAAAGATTTCAGAGAGAAAACTTTGAAAATTCGTTAAAAATAAAAATTTGAATTATTAAAAAAGAATTTTCCATATATCTTGAAGAGGAAAAAAGAATTTTCCATATATCTTGAAGAGGAAAAAAGAATTTTCCATATATCTTGAAGAGGAAATCGCTGAAAAAATTTATTTTAGCATGTTCTGAAAAAGGTTTTGCAGCGATTTTTATATTTGAAAAATCAGCAAAAAATTGCGAATTTTTTAAACCCAAACTTTTTGTTTGAAAAAATTTTTATTTTCGAAAAAATCCTAAACTTCCTTATAAAAAATGTTCCAGGCAACTTGCATCGACAAATTTTATATCAAAAGAATCAGCGAAAAATTCCACACATTCTCCATCAAAAATTATCGAAGAATTTCCAGTTTTTATCGCCAAAAAGCACTAATTTTCAAACTTTGAAAGATCACAATTTGTCCATTTTTCTCTGACTGTCTGGCGCCCTCCAATCAGATAGAGATCATTGTGTTTCGTCACTTTCCATTTGCATTCCACGATTTTTCTGTCTATTTTTGACCTAGATTTTCCAAAAAAGTTTTTAAAAATTCCAGAAAAAAAATGGGAGATTTCCTAATTGCCTATGGCTCACAAACTGGTCAAGCCGAGACGATCGCTAAGAGTGTAAAGGAAAAATCAGAGTTGATCGGACTAGCTCCACGCCTATTCACACTCGATGAAAATGAGAAAAAAGTGAGAATTTTGAGGAAAAAATAACTGAAATTAAAAAAAATTTTTTCGAAAAATTCAAGAAATAGAATTTTCCCGAAAATCCAAAATTTTGAATTTTCCCGAAAAATTTATGAATAATCAAAAAATCTAATTACCAATTGAAAACTAGGACAAAGCTGAAAATCAGAAAATTCGAATTTTTGGAAAACTCGAAAAAATCTGAAAATTCAAAATTTCAGAAAATTCGAATTTTTGGAAAATGTTACATTTTTCAAATTTTCCATTTTTTGAAAAAATTTGAATTTTCGAAATTTTTCGAAAAATCTGAAATGTCGAATTTTTTCTAAAATTTCCAAATTTCAAAGTCTAAAAATCTAAAAAATTGAAATTTTCGAAATTTTTAATTTTCGAAAAATCTGAAAACTTCGAAAAAACTGAATTTTCACAAAAATCGAAAAATCTGAAAATACAACTTTTGGTAAACTTACAAATTCAGTTGCTGTAAAAAATCCAAAAAAAAAAATCGAAAAATATGGATTTTCAAAAATCAAACAAAAATCGAAAAATTCAAAATTCACAATTTCAAATTCCCGCCAAATCAGTCAAACTACAAAACCAAAAAAAAATTTGCAGTTCAATCTAAACGAGGAGAAGCTCTGTGTCATCATCGTTTCATCGACTGGCGACGGTGACGCTCCGGATAACGCCGCCCGTTTCGTTCGCCGAATCAATCGCCGGACTCTTCCGGAAGATTTTTTGAAATCGCTGGAATTTGTAGTTCTAGGTATTAAAAATTCCAAAAATGAACCGAAATTGCTTATTCTTCGCCAAATGTCTGTCTGTGTTTCCGTATGTCCGGATTTTCAGGTCTCGGCGATTCGAACTACTCGTCGTATCAGTTGATCCCTCGAAAAATCGATAAACAATTGGCGAATTTGGGCGCCAAACGACTTTTTGAATACGGTGAGGCTGATGATCAAGTTGGGTAAGTTAATGCACCACATTTCACGACAAAATGCAGAAAATTCGAATTTCCCGCGAAATTTCGAAATTTTCTGCATTTTGTCGTCAGGTTCGATGTTCGATGTCTAATTTGACGACACACAAGCTGCAGAAAAATTTTGAAAATTTTCCGGGAGACTTTTGGGTTACTGTAGCTCCGATTCTAATCAAAACACCAAATCTGACGACAAATTCAAATTTCCCGCCAATTTTTAAGTCGGAAAATCTGGAAATTTAAAATTTCCTGCATTTTGTCGTCAAATTCAGCGTTTACACATATTCGGAGCTACAGTAACCCTAAAATCAAGCAAAATTATATTTTTACAATACATCCCATGCAAACACCAGATTTTACGAGAAATTTTGATGAAAATTTTAAATTTCTGTGCAATTTGTCGTCAAATTCGGTGCAAACACTTTATCTGACGACAAATTGCAGAAAATTCAAATCTTCTGCATTTCGTCGTAAAATCCGACGTTTTGCAGACTAGAACTCGTCGTCGAGCCATGGATCGATCGACTTTTCAAAACTTTGGGCGCGAAATTTGAAATTGCCGCCGAACGCATGAATGCGATCACCGAATCGCCGAATATCAAGCTGAATCAAGTGAAGAGCGAGGAGGAAAAGAAGGCGTTACTCGAGAAACGTCTTCACGACGAGGAATCAGATGACGAGGGAAAAGGAGGCGTTCAGGGCGTCGAAATGTTGATTCCGCAACATTTCGATTATCCTGAAATTTCGCTTTTGAAAGGTGAAATCGGTTGGGGAGAGTTGGAAATTTGAATTTCCCGCCGTTTTTTACCCCTAGACGCTTTTTTCTAGGCTTTCGTGAGACAAAAACTCAAAATTTCGAAAATTCTGCAATATGTCGTAAGGTATGGTGTATTGGCTAATTTTCGCACAGAAACGATCATACAGTAATCCATGAAACCTCAAACCCTAGATTGGGGTTTCTTGGGTTACTGTAGCCCTGTTTCTGAGCGAACACCATCGCAATACATCAGACCTTACGACAAAATGCAGACAATTTGGAATTTTTCCGATTTTGTGCCACGAAAAGTGATGGAACTGGCTCAGAATGAATTTAGTGCGGCTTGTGTTACTGTAGCGGCGTCAAATCAAGAAAATTTGAAAATTTTCCGCAATTTGTCGTAAGGTTCGGTGTTTTGTTTAGCGTTTGCACACGAATCGAGCTACAGTAATCCTGGACACTTCTTGAGGAACCGAAAAAAGCCTACTTGCAGTGTGTGGGTTACTGTAGCGCCGTTTCTATGTGAGTAGCAACCAATGCATCAGAACTTACGACAAATTGCAGACAATTGCGAAGTTTTGAGTTTTGCAAACATTTTCGGCATTTTTTTCTAAATTCATATTTTTTACCCAAAAAAAACTGTTTTCCCGGGTTTCGAACTCAAAAATGCACATTTTCTGCAATTTGTCGTAAGGTATGGTGTATTGGTTAGTGTATGCACGGAAGCGGCGATACAGTAATCCACGAAGCCCCGAATTTAATCTAAATGAATGAGAGGTGGACTTTTGGATTACTGTAACTTCATTTCTGTGCAAACACCAACCAATACACCAGACCTTACGACAAAATGCAGAAAATTGAAAATTTTCGCGGTTTCATCCTAAGAAAATTGGTTTAGTGTAAAAATAGGCGGGGAGTTCGAATTTTGAACTCTCAGATCTCCAAATTGATTCCTAAACACCGAAAATCCCGTTTTTCAGGTTCAGCAACCCTTTCGGCCGATGAGAACCTTCGTGTGCCGATCGCTCCACAACCATTCATCGTCTCATCGGTTTCACATAAGAAACTTCCGGTAGCTTTGAAATTAGAATGGCAAAACGCGTGCAAAATGCCCGGAGTAGTCACCAAACCATTCGAAGTGCTCGTGGTCGCCGCTGGCTTCGTTACGGACCCATTTTCCAAGAAAATCAAGACCAAACGAATGATTACTGTCGATTTTGGAGGTTAGATTTGAAATTGGCGCGAAAAATTGGTCTAGAAACGAGAAATCTGCATTTTCCCGTCAATTTTGGTGTTTTTGTGCAAACACCGCATTTGACGACGAAATTTGAATTTTCAAGTTAGAAATTGCTTTTGAGTGGTGAAACGTTGTCGGAAAAGTTGAAATTTGCCACAATAACGGTTGGAATTTTCTCGAAATTTTGAAAAAATTCTCAAAATACACCAGATTTGACGACAAAATGCACGAATTTTCGAAATTTCGAGTTTTCGACCTGAAAAGAGGCTGCCAGGGGGTGGAAATACCCGGGAAACTCGAATTTTTGCATGAGAATGCACGAAAACCTGCAGAAACATCTCAAAAACAAATAATTTTTGCAGACCACGCCCCCTCACTACAGTACGAACCAGGCGACGCCATCTATTTCTGTGTCCCCAACCCGGCGGCCGAAGTGAACTTCATTCTGAAACGATGCGGCGTTCTATCGATTGCCGATCAGCAGTGCGAATTATCGATTGATCCGAAAACCGAGAAAATCAATGCCCAGATTCCGGGACATGTGCATAAGACAACTACACTGCGACATATGTTCACCACTTGTTTGGACATTCGTAGATCGCCAGGAAGGGTTGGTCGGCGAGATTTTTCGACTAGAAATTTGGATTTTTCACGAATTTTTGACCTATAAAATCTTTTTGTATCATTTTTTGAAATTTTGAAAAATTTGAGTTTTTCGAAAATTTTCAAAAAAAAAATTTTTTTTTCGAAAATTTTTGAAATTTCAAAAAAGTGTCACGACCAATTATTGGGTGTTTTAGCTCATTTTAAGCCTATTTTTAGCTTAAAATTCCCCTTTTCAGCCCCTAATCCGAGTTTTGGCTGAAAGTACCACCGACCCATCTGAAAAACGACGTCTTCTGGAGTTGTGCAGTGCGCAGGGCATGAAGGATTTCACAGATTTCGTGCGGACGCCCGGAGTGTCGCTAGCTGATATGCTTTTCGCTTTTCCGAATGTCAAACCACCGGTGGATCGGCTTATTGGTGAGAAAATTCATTTTCAGCAGAATTTTAGGCAATTTTTGACTGAAAATTCCAGTTTTTCAGCATTTTTAACTCTGAAAATCGGCTTTCTCGTCATTTTTGAGCTTTAAACCCCCTTTTTAAGCCTTAGAAGTCGAAAATTCGAACTTTCTGCATTTGTCGTCAGGTCTGATGTATTGGGATGGTGTTTGCACAGAAACGGTGCTACCGTAACCCTAAAGGTCCCATACACTCAATCTGAGCGTTTTTTAGGTTACTGTATCGCGGTTTCTGTGCAAACACCAGCCAATACACCACATTTCACGACAAATTGCAGAAAGTTTTGAATTTTCTGAATTTCAGGCCACTACAGTAACCCAAAAAAAGCAGTAATTTCATTTTGTACAAATTCCTTGAACGTTTTCACCCAAAATTAAATTTTGAACTGACACAATCGGGAAAATTCCAAATTTTCTGCATTTTGTCGTAAGGTCTGATGTATTGAGATGGTGTTTGCACAGAAACCGCGGGGGTGTCTTTAGAGTCATTCTTCGGCGTCAACCGTTTTTCTAGGCTACTAAATACTTTTTTTTTGCAAAATCCGCAATTTGTCTTCGGATTCGGTGTATCTTGGTGTTACCGTTATTTGTAATTTGTTTATTGACAAAAACCGTAATCCACTCACATATAAATCGAATCCACCGTAGCATCACGGCATCCGAAGAATAGAATACGTGGCACGTGTTCTTTGAAGTCCGCCGGCGAGTCGATTTTGAGTTTTCTGGAAATTTTTGGCTCAAAATCAATAAAAATACGCAAAAATGATAGAAAATTCGAGTTTTCCATGTATTCTTATCTTAAAATCAACTT